ACTTCTGTATTTTTCTTTTTTCTCTTGGACGATATTTTGCGAAGATATCGTTTTAGTCACAGCTGAAACAGTCAATAGTCCTCAGCCTCATTCACGTTCGTTGTTCGAAATAAAAATAAGAAAAAAAAAATAAAGTTTTTCACAAAAAAAAAGTTGTTTGTTTGTTCAAGAGGCAATTGAAGTTTTTCTCAACCAAAAAGAAATAAGCAATTGTGATTCAATAAAAGTAAGAAGAATTTGCTAGAAAAAAAATCAGTGTGATAACGTGGAAAATTCTCAATTTTTCGCCTTCTTTTTGTTCCATGCATAAGTTTTGAAATTGTGAGAAGATAATAAGTCAGTGTGAGGATCATTGAAGAGAAAAATGAATGATTTTTTTGCGTTTTGTTGCCCGAGTGACACAACAAGCTTCCTTATCTATGGTGCACTTCTATACTTATTCATATAGGATACCTATTGAGCACCATACCTAAGTTTCTTAAAAATTTTATAATGCGACACACTAAAGTGCTTGAAAGAGTCTTGTTGACATAGTTTCAACATCAAACTAGTGTGTCGTGGACCGTAGTTTGAGAAGCACTGCCACCTATATTCTTATAACCCAAAACGTCCCTAATTATAACATTGACGTACCAAAACTACTTTAAAGTAATAAATATGGACAATTTTGAGCTATATGAGTGGGTTTAGACAGTCAAATACATCCCATCTGGCTTCCACATGACTGTCATTACCTTATCGTCTTCGCTCGGGTCACTATACGTAAAAAATATATCAAATTGCGAGATATTTAGTGAATTGTGTTGATGAAACAGCTTCATTGTGTGCTAAAGAGGATCAATAATAAGAAATAATAACAAGAAGAAGGTGAAAATTGTCTGTGATATCAATTTCAAAATACTATTTGATGATCAGATGTGATAGTTAATGAGCAATTGTATTAGAATTGAAGATTCTTCTTTAAATTTTGTGATGTGACCTCTAACTGAGAATCAAAATACGAGAAATTTTATATTTATTTTTTCTTCTTAAAATCTTGTGTCGGAAGGAATGAAGAAAAAAATAAAATACTGAGCGATCTGTATAAGTGTATTCTCGCAATTTCAGGGACGCTCTCACAATTTTTTTTTCTCATACGCAAAAAATAAAACAGAAATTTTATTTACAATTTTTTCATAAACATTGATTTATATTTCTTTTAATCAACATTAAGTTCTCATGCGTTTCATTGTTTACGATGATATCGGTCATCTCTTATTTCCATTTGGACTATTGTGGAGGCGATGAAAAACATTTTTGAGTGTTCATAAAAATTAATTTTAGATAATGCATTAATTTATTACCAAAAAATTCAAGCTTTTATTGCACCACCAACCACCTGTTTAGCAGTTAAAATTGAAGATTCATAAAAAAAAATCTATGATGATGATTAAATTTGCATACACGACTAACAAGGTGTCAATATTAATGAACATTAAATTAGTTTTGATATCAAAACTTTTTCGAAATTAGTTCAGTTTTTTTTTTGGCAGTGAAATAAAAGCGATTTTATAGCTAATTAGATTCACTAAATTGGCAATTGTGCTGACGTTGTGAGTTGAGTGATTTAGTTGAGATTTTAAGCGGGGGGTAAATTGAAACTAAATGCGATGATTTGTTTGTTGATTGAGGATAATTTTTAGGAGAATTACTGAATACTTGACTGCAAATTCTACGATTAAACTAGATCACAGGCTGATAAAAGCATTGATTAAGTTCTAAAAAGCTAGTTTTTGGTCAGACTAGCATCAAAATCAAAGAATTTTAATTTCAAAATCTTCAAAATATTAATCAATTTCTCAAAGTATCATCAAACCAATTCAAACTGAAATCCTTTTGAAGATTTAGTCAATAGTTGAATCCAGTATGCTACAAATCAACAAAATGTCAATTTACTAATCTCTAAAGCTATTTTTACGATAATCTGTTTTCAAAACTAATTCAGAATGATTAAAATTGACCAAGTATACAACAATCATCCACTTGTGACATAAATCGTAGGTTTTAACAGCCAATCCTCAACAAAAAGTCATTTGAACATTAGTTTTCAATAAAATTTATCTCTTCACAATCTCAATCGACACAATAATTCAGGATTAAACACTGCTGAGCTCTGTAGTTTCAAGTATAACCTACCCCATGATTTTTATTTTATCATAACAATTACTCAACAAATTGCCAATCGCAATGTCCTTGAATTCACAACATTTACATCATTCAATTCAAATCTACTTAAGTAAATGAAATTTTAATGGTAAAGTTCAATAAGAATCACCCTCTTGACTTTATATTCCTCATTTGGAACATCTCCAGATTTCAATAAGTTTTGATTTGCAAATAAAAAAACTCATCAGGACATGCATAACAATTTTTCTATGGATCTTATGATATAGGTCACGACTATATCTACAATTTAAATGATTGATGGTCCAGTAATTTTCAATTATTTCACACTTCCGTTATCGAAGCCGTGCAAAAAAAATGTATTTTCATAAGTGATAAGGTCAACGATTCGACGATGCCATTAATTTCTGTATTAAGTAAAATAAATTGCTTTTACCATATATGATTTAACACGATTTGATGTTAAATAATAATTCTTAAATGAACTCGACATTATTATTCGAAAGTTCGTGCTGGTTTCATTTGAAAAACGAAATGAATGAGAATTAATTCTTAAGAAGCTTGGTTTGATGTTTGAAATTTGAGCCCTCTGAAGCTTAGTAGGATAAATTGAATGCATGATTGGGTGAATAATTGGACTTTGTGTGTGGTTTTTTGGGAATAAGGAAATTGTTGTCATTTAAAGAGCTGTTCTCATGACTGCAAGGTTTATGTTGAGTCCATGCAATTTAGGTTCTTGGTCTAAATCCTCAGTCGAAATGAACTTAAGATCTATTTCATACCTTGAATGTTTCAAAGGTCAGTTAATGCTGCTAATAAAAATTTCCAAGTCAGACTGTCTATCACACTATTTATAATGGCAAACTTAACTTATTCTCTAATAAATGCTCTTTATTACCCAAAAGACATCCCAATAGCATTACTCAAATACCTCAATAAATCCCCTAGCCACGCTTCTGTCTATAAAACCACAGACAAACATTCTACAAAATTCACAAAAACAATCAAAAGTTTCACAACCCTGAGCGCAAGCAAAATCATGCCAATTGACGACAATAGAAGCACTTCAAAAACAGATCTTTACTACATCATTAAAATTAACTGCACTAAATGTTTACAAAAGGTGCCAAATTATTTCAACTTAAGTTCTCTGATTTCCTGCGCAATCGAAACGATGTTTATGTCTATTAAGCTACAGTAGTCAAATTATTAAGACAGTCTGACGAACTTTCTGTGTTTATTGGCAGTGCATATGTATGAAAAGTATGCACATAACCCGTCAATTAATAAACCAGCATTTAAGAATTAAAACATTTCTCAAGACGAAGGTATTCCTGGAAGCATCAAGGTCCTCTCATGTCTTCAAGGTGTCTTTAAATCGTTCTTTTATTCAAATAAACTTTATTTCGCGTGATAATTGCATAGGAGCATGATACACAGCAATTTATGAGACAGTTGATACTTTTTTTTTGGCAACCTTAACAAAATCGACCGAGTATATATTTTAGAAAAAAAGCCTTATGCTGTGATTAATTCAATCGTATGATAATTTATAAAACATGATTTTATTTTTTTCGAACAAGATGATAATTATCACACCCATACGAACTGCTTTTTGGCGTTCAAACTAGTTATTTGAATCGCTTCAAGATTTTCAAATCAATCGTTAAAATCTTACGAGATTAATTATCTCGCCATGACTGTAATTGCTTGATATGATCCAAGAAAAAAAAAAATTACAAGAATTAAAATTCTAGTTCTAATCATTTTTTAATGGCAAATTATTGGCAAAGTCTTTGTTTTGGTTTATGATACTTTGTTGTAGAACAATTAAATTTAATTTTTTGAATTAAAAGTAGTCGAGGGGTTGTTCATAAATGATGTCTAAGGTTAAGGTATGGTGTAGAGTAGTTCTTTAGGTCTGAAAACTCTTAGATGATAGAGAGTAATGCTTTAAGGACAGAAATCTGTGTCTGAGGATGTGAAAAATCTATCATAGTGCTAGACGGGTTCATAGCCAGAAGAGGAGGGTTATAGATTAATATCTAACAACGCTCCTAATGATTGGTACAAAATGTCGCTTGACTTGAAGTATAATGTCCGATTGAATACATTGTGAACAGCAGTCCAGCGTGTGTAGGTTAAGTTAAGCTCATTTTGTCCTCTTAGTCTTCAAAAAAAGTATTTGAGACTCAAAACCTTTGAGAGTTTAAGGATCTGTGACTCCGTTACACTTCAATGTAGCCTTACTACAGACTTCAGCACAGTAGGGCAGAACAGGCTCTTATCATATAGAAATCAAAGTAAGGATGGGTTCAGTAGCTATAATTAAATGTAAAAGATCAAAAGTCTAAAAGTTGACATCATTTCTGAACATCCCCCAAGCAAGACAGAATCTCATGAAAAATAATAACGATGAAGAGATAATTACAACAAAATAGTCTGGTAAACTGTCAAATTCTGAATCATGGCATGTTGAGTAACAGAGTCTGACATTTAAGAATTGAGATTTATAATATGCTCATAAAAGGAAGCGTTTAACAAACCTGTCGGAATAGTTTCAGACCACAATTATCCTTTCATCCAATGTCTAAAAACTATTTTCATGAACACAAAAAATGTTTTTCATCAAGCTTGCAGTTGAGTCCAAAGGAAGAAGCCGGAAATCGCTTAATTAACGTTTTTAAAAGAAATATTATATTGTGAAGCTAGTCTGAAGAGAGTTATCTTTTTCTTTGGAATTAGCAGACTAAGAAATGACAACAGTAATGAAAAGTCAGACAAATAATTGCGCCAATGGCATCGCTAATTTATGCTGTCCATCAAACGGTGTACAGCAGCAGCAGAATGGTGTACCGAAAAAAATTGTCAAGGTCATCGATCCACTAAACAGAGAAATGAATGGGAAAGGACCTCTAAAATCACCACCCCCGCCAATTGGCAATAGCAATAGTAACAGTGACTCAACAACGCCAGCTGATTTTTTTAGCAAAATGAAGATAATTGAAGATGAGAGTTCAGCACATGGAATTAAATTAACTGATGTAGGATTGCCACATATTTCAGTACAGACACTTGAATGCAAAAAGAATGAAAAGCCTCAGACGACGATTATAATCTATAAATCGAAAAATGGCACTCGTGCGCCAACTGCAAAAGTTATCATGACAAAGGTTTTAAATTTCAATTTTTTCTATATATGTCCATCATCGTTTTGTTATCTTCTTGTCAGTGACTGATACGATTTAATTAACATATATACACATCATTTCAGATTTGATTCCATTTTACCTTTTTTTCTCACGTATTATATGTCTATATTTGTCTTCCTACGTCTATAAAACTTTAAGATATATTTAGATTATTTATGTGCGTAAATATACCTAACCATTCCAAACGATAGTCATTTTCTGACTCAGTTCAGGTTCATAACAACATCACCTTATGACGATGTGCTGTTGTTTTTATTTTTATTTCTTTTTTTTGTGTCTCTCATAAAATAATTTTTTTTTCTATTTTTATCATCGAAAGTAAAAAATTTTAATATTTCACATTTGGATAAATTTAGCAGTTAAAGTAGAGGAGCAGAATTTATTTATATATGAAGCATCTCTTGAATGCTAGCCAAATAATAATAATTACCTCTCTCTCTCATGTGCGCTATATTCCCTCAAGTTTTGTCTTTGTCTCTTTCACTCGCGCTTGTCAAATGCAATATATAGACTATATACAGACGATATATGCACCTTACCTAACACATGTGTACGGAATGTAAGGTGAGGAGTAAGAAGAATTTTTTTTTCGCAAAGATTTGGGGCACATAGCTAAACGACATATTGACAATGACAGATTAGCATTCGGTACACTTATTTGATAATGATATAACGCAACTGTAACGAATTTACAGGGATTGCGAAAGAATTTCTGTTAAGTAATTGTTATGCATGTCTCATTATGTGATCTATGGGAGATATTTTGTCTACTTGAGTGAATTACATGGTCGATTTTTAAATGAAGTCGTGATTATGTTACCTATGGGGTGTCAGGTTGGGCAACTTTATCAAATTCAATGATGCTGAGTAGCTCAATACGTCTTGGTCTCTTGCTGCTGTGTCTTGGTACTCAGAGACTCTACTCATTAAATTTATACCTTAAATAAACTTAGACTCTCTGTTATTTCTAAAACAAAGCAAGACTCAACCTCAAGAAGGCACATCAGCGTCTCTTTTGGCACTTCGTCATCAACAAGTCAATGTGACAGTCTACTCCAGTGATTTCAATGTGCCGCTTGACTATACATCCATGCCTTTACAAAACTAGTTCATCAGGATATTAACCTGAGATGAATCAATCTTTATGACACATCGATACAAAGGTTTATTTAATTGCAAATTGCGGACGTTATTACGATTAAGTGATGATAGCTTCGTTAATTTACACGATTATGTCATCTTAACGGCATCCTTATTATGCTAATTAAATAATTCTTTGTATTGTGTCAATAGTTTGGTTGGAACTAGGAATGCTTTCGAGAATTGTCACTTAATTGGCCTGATTCTTACACCGGCAATAAAGACATGCTAAGTAAGTTAGTATTAAGTCCATATCGTAGCTTCTTTAAGATATATCACTTAGAAGCTAGCCGCTATCGCTAGCTATTAGTTTGCTAATTACCAAATGGCAAATGCAATACCATGTCTCGATCAAACAGCCTAGATGGCATTTAAAAACATTAAACTCTTCACCAACCGACTTGCTAATTACGATTGCAAAAAAATTACCATCGCATCCACAGCCATGAGAGCACTCGAACCACAATTTAAGCATCTTAAATGACAAACCTCAAATTATTGACATCGATGTCTCTTTCTTACATCCATAATGTGACATGAATGACAAACAAAAATCTTTTTGCCTTAATTTTTTTGTGAATGCACAATTTCAATTGCAAATGCATGTTGTGTCGTTTTGATGTCACATGTGACATTTTACATGACAAACAAGATCGATTTAATCTAAATTAAAATATTGTAAAAGATAATTTTTTCATATATGAGGAACAGCGGGAAGCTGCGACAAATTCGTCTCTCTTTATTTTTTTTTTGCAATTCGTTGGCTTCAATTCTTTTATTTTGTTCAAGGTCTCGTCTTCATCTCTCGTATAATATTTGTGTGTATATAAGTATAAATAATTTAATTGCAGAATCACTTTACAAATACGCATTCACAGTTACAACAAACAGAAAATACAGCAACAAATCCAAATAATAATAATAATAATAATAATAGTAATAATAATTATCATACGGAATCTACAGCAATAAATTTAAGTACGAACATGACACCGACAAGTTACAGCGGCAGTGGGAATGCAAATAGTGCTTCCGCAACCGACAAAATAATAACAACAATCGCTACTCCTTCTTCATCATCTTCATTTATCGACACGTCAATCTTTACAGAATCGGCAGATACAGCTGAACTATTGAATAATGCACTTGAGAATGACTTAATTGATCTCACATCGAATGCAATTACAAAAGTCTCAACAAATGGGCCAGCTGATGATTTATTTACAGCTGATATCGACTTTATGAATAATTATCTCAAAAGTCTTCCGGATTATAGTAATGTGAGCAGCAATAGTAATAATAATGCCATAAATAATAACTGTAATAATGTCCAACAAATCCCATCGACTGTAAAGCTACGCGAACATCCGAACCCGAAGCCATTTCAAAATGTCTTCACAGAGACACACGTACCATTGCATAATCCAGCTCCATATCAAAAGCATGGAGTTAGTCAAAGTCCACAGTTGCATAGGAAACCCATGAGGATACCGCTGTCCAAGTCAAACTCAATTCATACAATCACAAAGCAAAATATGAAAAATTTTGGCAACATGCAGACAGCGAATGTCAATTGCCATGAGAAAGATTCAGCATGTATAGCTGAGGATTTACAGAATAATAATAGTAATAATAATGTCAGTAGCAATAATAATAAAATAAGTCGTAGTACATCATCAAACTCGATGATTAATGCAAATGATCCGAATGTTGGCACTGTGAAGGAAGGCACAGATTTTATGGGATTCATGAGAAAACCGTCATCATTAATGAATATTTTTAAGAAATTGGGTGGCTCACATAGCAACAGTTTTACGCCACAACAGCAGCAAGTAACAAGTCACGATAATTCGTCAAGTGATTTAAATAAAAGCAGCAAGACGCCATCTGTCGAACCAAAGAAATCAATCAGTGATTTTTGGCGAGATAATGTTTCATCCACTAACCAACATACGCCGAAGTTTGGATGGAATTATCATAAAATTATTCCACAGTTTAACCATAAAAGTAGTCAGCCACAAAGTCAGCAACAGCAGCAGCCACAACAAGCTCAAAATAGTACAAAACCTTTCCCTTCGCCTTCATCTGCAAAGCGCAAAATGAATGTCACGAATAAGAAAACAGAACCAGTTGCAAATGTATCAAATTCCTCATGTGTGGCTGCTGTTGCATCAAGTCCAATGCCGGCGACAACGTCAAAGCCGCAGCCAACAAAATTGCGCGATTCACAACCAAAAAAGGAAAACATTTCGATACAGGAAAGTCCAAAGCAAAGACAGCAATTGAGCCATGATAATCTGAATAAATCATCAAATTGTGAACAGCAGAGGCTAGAATTCCAAAAACATAAGTCATTCTCATTGACTGATAATCATCAAGCAACAGCTAATGGAAGTAGCAATAAGTTTAAAGAGAATATAAAATTAGCAAAAGAGGAATTTTTTAAAGGTGGAAATAAAGATGCTAATAGCACAAAAGATAACAATAGCTTTAAGCCGTCACAAGAATTGATAAAGTCATCATCAAATTCTCACATTTATATGAATGATCAAGACCCAAATTATTATAAAAATTTGCATAAGATTACAAAATCATTAAATCACAACGTAACGAATCTAATAGTCAGCAAGCCACCAAATCAGCAGCAACAGCAACAACCACAAGTGGCTAATACATCAAATCAATCAATTCCATTGCATAAAAGCGTATCTAATTCGTCCGTACCAAATTATTTGGCACATCATCATCATCACCATCATCCACATAATTTCCATCATCATCCACACCATCCACAACAAGTTTTCTTTCCACCTCCTGGACAAGCAAATTTTCAACCATCATCAGCACCGGTTCATGCTCCGGCTTTTATATATCCAGCATATCCATCGACACATGATATGCAAATGATTCAAAAATCAAATATTCCAATATGCTATAAATATTCTCTTAATAAGAGTTCATCGAATTCATCAATGGGCCCAGCTACATTCGGTTTCTATAGTCTTAATGAGAAACCGGCTTTTACGACACCAACGGGTGTTCCTGTATTGTGGCCTCAACCGACACAACCAAATCAACAGCCACAACATCATCACCAATCTCACATTAATAAAAGTTCATCGAGTTCATGCATATATGCGAAGACATTAAGTCAACCAGCACACCTATCGAAAAATAATGGGATATTCTCAAGATACAAGCCAATCCTTTCAGACGATGATGATAATGATTCGGACATAAGTGATGATGATATAAGTAAGCACAGTAATGCATCGTATGTGAATAATGTTCCAGCACCTCCGCCATTTAACCGAAAGAATTCTATGCCTAATTCGATAATGACGGTTGCGAATAGCAGCAGCAACAATAGTATAAATAATTTCACTCCATTTACTAAAATCAGCACGATACAGATTCCAATAAATGGACAATTACCGCCACCATTTAAGACAAAAAATGCAGCATTGGCAATGGAAAGACAGGAAGATCATCAACAGCCATTAAATACGGTAGATAATGGCAATGCCGTACAGAAAAATGTAATTACAGAAAATGATCATCATAAGAATGAAATACAATCCTTGCCATCTTCAACCGTGCCATCATGTACTCCACAAAGTCAAATACACTCACAGTCAACTATTGCTGCTGCCGTAATTCAAGCTAATAATATTTTCTATAATCTTATGTCAAACCCGTTGACCGCGACACAAAATGCAATTGCCATTAATAATCAACAGCAATTGCAACAACAACAACAAAACCAAGATGGTCACCCGCATAGTGCTGGAACATTTTCGAGTGTAGGCGTGATCGGTGGAGAGCAAATTTATACTCCTTATACGAAATATTTATCAGACAGAAAATATTTTGCCGATTTGAATGTATGTGGCGAGAGTAATGTACAGTCAGGCACAACAACAACATCAACGCCATCGATCGAGCAGCAGAGGCGTAATTCTGGTACATCGACATGTACTAATAAATCAAAAATTCCAATGTATATTGAGAATAAATCGAAGCAAATTAAAGAACAACAACATGTACCACCAGCTGTTATCAACTCAAACAATTTACATACACAACAAAATCAAGAGCAGCAGCAGCTAATGAATAGAATTAAGAAGGAGGACAATGAAATTGATATATTAAGTGCATTCGATCCTTTTTACGTGCCAACGACAGAACAAAATAATTCATCGACAACCAGCAATAAACTTCATCAACTGCTATCGACTGTGGCCAATGAGCAATGGACTGACTATAAAAAATGTGATGCATATGGCAGTGATCATCAATTCTCGACAGAAACTGCAGAGGTAGTTTCATTATTATGTATTGCTGGACAGGGGTGTATCCTAGGGATCTCAGAGGGTGGCGAGTCGATATTGGTAGCTCTAAGTTTAGGTAATGTTTGGTACCTCAAGTTGCTTTTGTTAATTAAAAGCCCTCAAAATATGCCCTGAATACACCTCTGTCAACATCATTTGCTGCTTGGATGGATTAAATTATAGCTTGCATACTTAAGACTTATTTTTTAATAACAATAGTTATATAATAATATTTTTTCATTACTACTTTTTTTATGCTTTTACTTATAATGTGATTTAAAATGAGTGCAATTACTTTATTATTAAATCACTAGACTCGAGAGCAATCGAACGAGTTGAGAGATTTTTTTTATTGCTTGATTCATTGGAAAAAAAGGCTCGATTGATGGAGTTGTTATTATTGAGAGGATTAATATCTAGCTGTCTTGAGTTCTTGAATGTCCTTGGGTAAGGTTTCATAAAGTTTTAATGTGTTTTAAGATCAAGGGAGCGTTTCTGCTTATTATTGAGTAAGGGATAATGAATCGTGTTATTTAACATCTCTTATGTGATTGATCTTGTTGGATAAAGACCATCTGCTGGGTTTTTATGGCTGTTTTTAATGGTTTGATGTAATGTTCTGTAGCTTACAATGTAGCTATTTATTTATTGTGGTAAAAGCTGAGATTGCTGTTGAGTGAATCAGGGAGCTGATTTATAGAGCAACTCAGTGATTTCCGGCTTTAAAATCAATGATTTAACAGTTGAGGGAACTCAACTAGCCCTAAAAATCAACCTCAAACCAAAATCTAGCCATATAAAATCCCACAAAAAGTAACAACTCTGTCTCTCAATCACATCAGTTAATTATTGCTGTGATAAATCCTGTCAAAATTGCCTACAAATATAGTAAACGATGCTATTCAATATTGACATCCGAATTTGTTAATTATTAATTTAATGAAGTGACAAACCAAAATTTTACCATTTTAAGTTCTCTTCAATCAATTTTATCCAAAATTTTATTAAAACAAAATGATTCGCCTTATTAATTTATTTTTTGCTGTGTTTTCTGCTTGGCTGCTTTCCTTTGCCTTACACAATAATAACTCATGATTTTTAGACCTCGAAGACTGAAAGAGAAAAGCTGAATAACAAAAGATATTTTTTTTTGCTGTAAAATATGGAAATTTTTTGACTTAATGCTTGATAATTTACACAATCATTAATAGATTGATTGATCATGCCTCAATGATTTAGATTTTTTTGGCAAAATTTTGATTGCGAGTGTCGTATGGTCATCAATTGAAGTGTCAGTTTTAATTCTTTTTTGTGCTTAAGACTTGATTTGAATGTATTTTGAGTAGCTAGTAGAGTTGTGATTGATTCCTTTTGTGATTTTGCCGAATGGAAAATTTTAAGAATTGTTTTTATTGAGTTGAATTGCTTGGTTATTGATTATATTGTAGATTACACATGATCAGGCATGTGATAAGCTTCAATTGAATGTTGAACGTGACTTGGTGTATATACTAGGTTGTATTTCTAGCTTTTACACCTAAAACATGTCATTTGAGTGAGATTACATTAGAAAAAGTCCAACATTTGATAAATTGTAAATTACTTCCATTCTAAAATCTTCTCTGTTTAGAACAAATTAAATGCATAAATCCAGTTGCAAAAAATCTGTCGCAATAATTCTGAATTATTTGCACTTTTAAATCATTGATAAATGGCGATTTACGCTAATTCTGATCATTAAATTGAATGATATTCTCAAAAAAGAATAGATCCGACTTATATTCCTAAAACTACATGTAAATAAATATAAAGTGATGTAGCAGCTCCTATTATAAAACTGAATAAAATATATTGTTTTGGATTAGATCCATAAATTCTTTTTTAAAATCATCATATAATCTGAAAGTTGAAAGACAGCTCGTTTAAGTTGCTGATTTTATATATTCATATTTTTTTATTGAGATCAATATTTTTGTTGTTCTTGATGTTTTGCCTTGAAACATTTGATGAGGGTCTAAATGTTCTTGACATTGAACTGAACTGTGATAATTAAATTTGAAAACAAATTTTAGTTTCTGACAGAAGCGTAGCCAGAAAAATTTTAAGGGGGGGGGCCCATTTTCGAAAATTAAAAAACCGTTATTTTGTATCCTTAAATCTATATTCATTCTTCATAAGTTTAAATATTTCATTCATTATTCATACATTAAATTTAATGTTTCGTGCTGATTTTGACATTTCTTTCATCACTTCCTCTACATAACTGGTTTTTCTCTATAAATACTTAATAAAACAATTATCAGATTTTCGTAGGGGGGCCCGGGCCCCCTATGGCCCCCCTCTGGCTACGCCCCTGGTTTCTGATCAATTTTGCTTACCGTTGAATTAAAATTTGAATTATTGAAGAAAATAAATTTTCGCGCCTTTTTTCAATTTGATTACAAAATCATTATTTGATGAATTTACAAGGGGCCGTTCACTTATTACTTTCGCATTTTAGGGGGAGGGGGGGTTTGAAAAATTGTACAAAATGTAACATAAGGGGGGGGGGGGGTGTCAAGAAATATGTAACGTTCTAACTGTAGTCTGTCTTTTAAAAAAAAGATCAGGAAAAAAATTTGTTTACAAATTCACACCAAAAACATTTTTTAAAATTTTCCACCTTTTTATAAAAATAAAATAAATTATGAACGTTCAGGGGGGGGGGGGGGGGGTTGTGAGTTATAACAAGGGGGGAGGGAGGGGGGGGGGGTGAAAAAAAGTCTTATTTTGCGTAACGTAATAAGTGAACAGCCCCCAAGTCTAATCTCCATCAAATTGTTAAATTTAAACTCTAATTGAATATAAACTCTTAATATTATCGAAATTTACGTTTTGCACCTAAAACTAGTCAAATTTAAAAATTTTGCTTCATAAATTAGATTTTTCCCGCCAAAATTTCATCTCAAACTTTCAAAAACCTTCAAAATTCTCATAAAAATCATATAATTACCTCTAAACACACCTAATATCATGTGAATGCCTAAAAACCATGAACTTCTCATCTCGATTATTCATAAACTATTGAAGCACAAAAGCAAAAACATCGCTCCAAATCCATATTTTCACTTCCAACAGCTTCAACACTCCACTTATCATAATTTCTTCTGAAAATTATAAATATAATAACACACATAGTAATAATAATGATAAATAGAGATCATCATAAATTATCAAAGCTACACCAACAATGCCGCCTCACGAGCTTTGTAGCTTTGTGAGTGGAACTAATTGCTGTCTAGCATATACGTGGAGATCATATAGATATTAAATAAAATAACTAAATTGCATATTTTATTAAATAACTTTTAGATAAATGAAAAAAAAATTTGCCTAATTGCATCGCATTTTAATTAATTAATTAAATACACATTGATTAACATAAATGGAAAATGTGGGTAGTTAAAAATGTGGTGAAAATCAGTTTAATGATCTCGACCAGAGATTTTTCACGTGGTTAATTTCACGAATAATTAAGCAAAAAAAAATTATGATTTTTAAGAAGAAACAGTAACAATGCTTATTTCTGTGTTTATGGTAGCAGAAAGCCATATGGATATCTGTATAGAACATATATACACAGGATGTACATTATAACATCATCATTATTTATGTGGGTGTGTCAATTGCATATACAATCTCGTCTTATGTATTGTATTACGTATATCGTAGACGTTCTTTGAGCATTATTTATTGCATGATGAAGAAAATAAAATGAGAAAAAAAGAGAAAATGTTGTGATATACTTTAAACACATCTTATAAGTTTGCATGACAAAAAAATTAATGTTGCTGCAATGTTGCACGATTCGTTATGATTATTATTATAATTTTTCCTCATTGTTTCTTATGATTGTTGGAACATCTGTTTGTTCAAAATGTAAATGCTCTAAAAAATTTGACATCACTTCCGTAAAGACATAGTTTACTGATCAGTCATTATATTTTAGTAAATCTTTCAACGTTTATGTAGTTAAATGATCATTTAACGGTCGTTTGAAATTTGAATAAATGATGCAGAAGAGATGCAAAAATTTGTTTCTTTTAAAAACTGTTAAATTTCTTAAATTCAATTTTCGCATCAATTTTGAGTTATTTAACTGTAACGGTCATTAAAAGTTCAAATTTTCTGCATCTTTTTTCGCATCAATTATTTCAAGAAGTCGTTATAAAAAATCTCATTAATTTCTCAATCATTATTATTTATTTTGCAATAAAATATTTATGATCCACAAGCACTCACCATCCCACAACAGCGCAGTTAATTTACCCATTCATGTTTTACGAGTACATATCATTTACGATAATTTTTGCTGTCAATGCAACAATGTGACAGATTGAAACAAGAGAAATTTTTTGCAATTATTATTGACCGCAAAAACCTTAAAGTAAGTAATACAAAATAACATGAGAAGCACGAAACCATCACAAATTGATGTCAAATCATGTATCATTTCATATTTTAAATCAATCAATGTCTTTTATTCGCATTATAATTAATTAGCTTTATATTTTCGTAAAGGGTAATAAAAAAATAGACAGAAATCAAATAAAAATAATTAAAAGAAAGTTTTACAATTGGTAATGATGACATGATCATATCATGACATGTATGTGACCCATTTGTAACAAGCACAAATCAAACTAGCAATAAAAATAATGGCAAGATGTTAATAAACTCCACCAACTCATGTCATTATTTTCTTTCTTCTTAAAAACAAAAAAGCTTTTTTTCATTTTAATTGAGGTTCAAACAAAATCCATCTAATGTTTTTTTAAACAGAACTTTTGGGAAAGTTGTTTTTATTTTTGAGGCAGTTTGGTTGAGTTAGAGTGTGGGCTGATAAGTAGTTTACTGATTTCATTTTTTAATTCAAAAAGTTAATTCCTGAGTAAATTCAAACTTGAATTCTATAAAAAACGTTGAAATTTGAATTCTACAAAACCCATAAAAATTTGAATTTTACAAAACTGTTGAAATTTGAATTTTAGGAAACTGTTAAAATTTGAATTCTACAAAACTGTTGAAATTTGAATTCTACAAAACCCATAAAAATTTATATTCTACAAAACGGTTGAAAGTTGAATTTTCAAAAA